AAAAAAAATTAAACACTGTACAAAAGCTGAAAATTTGATTTGTTTTGTTTTTCAACATCTTTCATAGATATGCATGTGAAGTCAGTAGGTAGAGTGCCAATATAAAAGATAAAGCACTTGCTTACAAATCTTGATTTTAATTGTAACTTTGAGACTAACTGATATTTGATTAACTGCTTATTAAACTCATGGAGTTTCAATTACCTTTTCTATTGATTGAAAACAGTCACCTACCTTTAACTTTAAATGTTAATCTGCCTTGTGATTGCAAAGCCTTTTGTCTTATATTCCTGAAACCAAGTAAGAAGTCTCTTTTCATTACCGATTGCAGAACAACTTGCCATGAGGGTTGATTTCCTAGTGTTCTAGGAATCCCTTATAGTTATGTGAGTGTAAGATAATAGTTTTAACTTGTTACTAGAGCTGTTAGCTTAATCATGGATTGAGCTAGTAAGATCTCATCATACTCTATAAGCTAAATTAAATTCATCCTTCACTATGCTGTCTTTAGCAAAACCTGCTGCTATAATAGAAGAGTCCAAGTGGTGGTAGATGTGTTACAATGAGTGACATTTATTAGCTCTCTGGTTTAGTTTTAGAGAACCCCTGGGGGACCCACTGATTTCTCTTCACTCAATCCAACCCTAAAATACAACTTTTAAAATTTTCTATTTATTTTTAAGACTCTCACAAATTCTGCTTCTATTAAAAATTTTAGCTTGCATTGAAGATATTAGAAAAACCTTTGAAGAGAGAGAGGAAAGGTAATAAGAAAATCGACAAAATAGGGATGGGAAAGATATGTGTTCATAAACTAGAGGAAAGGACAGACATAGTGGAGGTTGGAGCCATTGAAATTCTTGTTTCTGAATTTTGCCCAGTTTCATCACTTACATATTATTATTTTTCCAATAAAATCCATGTGTTCTAAATGAAAAGAAATGATAGATACACCAGTAGATATTATAATATATTAGATTGTCAGTTAGCAAACATTAACTTCCTTCCCCTCTCACTCCCCAGTCTTCACAGGAGAATTATGCTCTCTCATCCCATTGATGATGAGCTTTGTTATGTGTTTTGCTTTGCTTTTAACGGTCACACACTATAAAGCATCTCTTTGCAAGCTAACAAATTATTCTGCTGCGGTGTCATGGATGCTGAAAGGAGACATGAGACTCCCACGTCAAGATAAAGAACCGTATTACTCACAGCAATAGCAGTAGTTAAAATATTGGTATTTTCCTGTATTGGTCCCCAAAGCTCCAGTTTCTACAGGGCAATATGCCACCTGATACGCACACTCACAGTGAGTTATATTATAGGAAAGAAACCTTGCCCTTTGAGAAACAAAATATTTTATAATGGGAAGTCAACACGTCTACCTTTTATTCTGAAAGGAGATTTTATTTCTATCTTCCAAAGCTATTTGCTATAAAACCTTGAAAATGTAGTCTGGGATAAAGGCAGTCAGTGCCTCTGCTCACAAGATGTATAGAAATGTGAGTGACCCATTGTCTCCCAGTACCATCCTCTGTTAAGGAGAACATTTGCCATTTATCTACTGCCATGTGGGGCCAAGTTCAGTTAAGTTACAACCTAATACAGAGCCATCATAGATACATTTATCTTGAATCAATCGAAGAGCAGTCAGCATGAAGATACAAAAATGAATGTCCATGTCTATAAATCTCTGAATTTTTGGTACCTTTTTATGTAGCATTATTGTACCAATAACTGAGTGATATAGAAATTGGTCATGGAAATGAGATGTTGCCATATCAAAACATCAACTTTGGCTTTAACTTTGGAGTTAGAAAGTGAGTAATGAGGAAGCCGTTACTGGAGGTTTAAAAAAAGTGGTGACATATGTTATAAAATTATAAAATATTTGGTAAAACTGTTGCCTACAGTAACTCAGAAGACAGAAAATCTACCTAATCAACTTATAACATTTGGTGAGTAGATTTCAAGAGCATGAACATATACTATTAATCACAATTGATAAGGTGCTACAGTAAAAAGATGAGCTCAGTAAAAGCTTGTAGGTTTGCAGATGGGATTTAGACAAACTATAGACAGCCCAGAAAACTCAGGTTTGGAAAATAAAATGGTTTCTTATCAAAACAAGATTGTGAAAATTGCAAAGACCAAATCCTTGTTAGCTTTGATATTCTTTGTTAAGACATATGAACTGATTGAAGGGTGGTTTAGCAGATCCTCGTAGCAGGATGAAGGGGCTTCTAGAAAAATTAAGGATGCAGTCTCACAGAGACTGTGTACCCAAAGTGTCCATAATTAAGTCTAGATGGAAACAAGCCTTGGAAGGAACTGTGTGTGTGACTCTTGGCACTTGAATTTAACTAAAGTGTAAGTATATACATAGAAAACAGACCAAGCTTTTGGGAGACATTTATTAGAAAGAGAGTCACCAGTTCTTTTAGAAACTTTTAGAGATATAAAAAGATCTCTTTCTCTCCAATTTTATATAGTCAGAAATTGAACTTATAACTGATGAGCCACCAAGAAGCACTTATTTTTAAATGCCTGATTAGACACAATCAAGAAGGATGATGGCAGAGGAAAAAACTTTAAGATGGTTGACACGAGATCTTTGGAGAACAGTAGAATAGGAGCCACTCTGAGGGTGTACAACCTGAATCTTATTAAAAACCATGACCATGATTTTGTTGTTTGTGGGTTCCATGTTAATGGAGGACAATACAATCACCTTGTCTCAACTCACATGATTGTACAGATACAGGTTTCCTTTGAGTATTCTTGTGAAGGAAGACGCATCTTCATATGGGAAGTGCACAGGTGTCATTCAGCATTGCTCTTATTTTTACTAGCTGAACTATAAGGATATCTCTTATTTTGGTCTATCCTTGGGGCAAGAGCAGTTAGCAAGAAATTATTTCAGCTCTCTACTGTTTCGAGACCTGATGACATTTGTTCTACAAGGGTCTAAAATTGTTATAAACCAATGATTATCATGTACTTTTCATTTTTTTCCCTGTTGAAGAACTAGAAGTATTTATTGTGGATACCCTACCCTGATTGCACAATTGTATATTGGGTGTGTGGAGGAAGATAACTTGTGTTTTTAGTCCATAGGTCACCAGAATAAAAGGAGTTGTATCCAAACTGAATATAGATCATGGGGTTCTGGATTTTGTATCTGTTGCTGTGATTTTAGGGATGCACTGGGATAAGTATATTTTGCATATGGGAAGATAATGTTAGAGGGGAAAAAAGGATACATTTTTTATTGTTAAGTAACTGTTCACTCCATCGCATTACCTCGATGGAAAGAACATATACTATAGCCCCTTGATGTTGGATTTGACTCCATAACTTACTTTAGCCAATGAAACATTAGCAAATGTGATATAAGCAGAGGCTTGAAATGTGTTTGCAAAGTTGGGATCAACCTCTTGCACTTTGACCATTGCCTTGGAAAGACCTGCTAGAGAAACTGCTAGTACTCTAGGTGGGTTCTAGTGTTAGATGCATGAAACAGAGCTGTCTGAACCCACAGACTACAACCTAAGCAGAGCTGTCTTAGCCAACTTGCAGATGCATGAGAAAGTAATATAGTAATTGCTTTTTGTTATGCAAATGGAGATTTTGTGATTGATTGCTTTGTAGCAAAAGTTGACTTACATTTAAAGACTTATGAAACAGAGAATGCTTGCCTCAGGAAGAGGATAATGACAATATTATAGTTTTTGGGTGACGGAGAGAGGGCAGGAACTAAGTCTCAGGCTAATTTATTCAGATAGACATTCAGCAATGAGTGTGCAAAGAGGTTTATGGCCTTCTGAAACCAACTATTACTTTATTTTTTAAGTTGACCGATTTTGGTGAACTTGTATGCTATGCCATGAATCTTTGTTTGGGGGTTCTTAAAATTAAATATTGTGTTTGTTTGTTTGCAGTATACCCCTGAGAATAGTGAACAAGAGTGGAATTTGGGCTTCCTTGGAGTTCGCTGACTTAACAGTTGATCACATTTTGAGGAATTCTATTTGCAAGCTTAGAAAATTACCACATAGAGTTCACCATATGGCACAACTGACTTTGCTTAAGGGAGCTATTGTATTTGAAAAATCAAAAACACTCACTTAATCCTCAAATCTCTCTTTTTTTCCCCCTACTGTCATGGTTTCCATGACTACATTTCACAGCCTCACATTATGTTTTAAATGTAACCATTTCTACAGAAAAACATCATGAAGAATTTTCAGAAGGAAGAAAGTAAGAGGGAAGTTTAATGGACAAATGATATTTGCTAACTTCCACAACTTGTTTTGAGATTGAGTACAATACAAATGGGAAATATATTTTTAAAGCATGATGTCTTAAGTTTTTAAGATAGGTTCTATGATAGACTATAGATACTGGAGATATACAACTTCAAATATCAAATAAGGATTGGTGAGGACAAACTTGTATGTAGTGAATTAGATTCTTATACCTCCTAACAGCTCTTGTAAATATTTTTCTTTTTTCTCTTATGTTTGTTTTAGGTGTGTTTTGATAATTATCTATTTGGGTGGGAGAAGGGGAAGCAACACATATTTTTCCCCTAATGAATTTCTTAAGATTAAAAAAAGGTAGGTAAAGATAAAAAAAGGCAGATAAAGATTTCTCTTTTTTTTTCCTATTAGGAAAGGGAATGTTGAATTTAATTCCACTACTTACAAACGTTCTTTAGAGCTGGCCTTTCCTAGTGCACCTTTCATTTTATTGAAGGCCATATGTTGTTTTCAGTTGCATGAACACTCTCTAGTTCACAAAGCTATTATTGTGTGTTAAATGAATGCTATGGGGATTCTGGCACACTGCCTCCAGAGCCAGGGATCTTTACTGGTGTGTTTTTTAAGCTCTGGTGTAAGGGCCTTATAAAGTTGTTACTAGAAAATAAAAAAACCAAATATGCCTCATCTTACACATACACATAACCCTGCATAAAAGCTTCTCATTTTTTGTTATAGAAAAACATCATTCTGATTCAAGAGGAATAACACTTGACATATAGGTTTGATGTAGGTAAGTGTTACTTTTTTCACCTGTACATTTCAATGTTTAATGTCTTTTTGTTAGTAATTAGCATAAATAAAATTGGCCCACCATTAGCAGTGCCATTTCTACCTTGTGGGGGAAAAAAAATACTTTGTCAGGTTTTCAGTGAAGAACTCTGTAAGTTGAAGAATCAAGAATCAACACCGGACAAGTCAAAAGTTGCATGACCTGAAAATGCATAAGTCACATCAGAAGTTACTCTAGGAGTCTTAAAGCCCTAGATCATTGTCTTCTATTTCCCGTCTAAGTGGGTGGAAGGGTGATATGAAGACAGCCTCATTGCATTTCCATTTTCTTTCTCTTCAACTATTGAAGGCTAAAGTTTCTGATGAAGTTTCAAGGTGATGACATAAAAATGGCAGGGTCATTCTTTTTTGGAGAACTTGCAGCATCCGGCACCCTGTTGCTCTTACTTGTTTCTCTCCTGCATTAATATAGGCAAGCCAGTTGACATGCATGCACTAACAGAAATGAGTAAGTGTTGGGTGCAGTAGGAATCGCATGGGGAATTGCCTTTGTGTGTACGTCCATGACTGTTGCAGGGTTTTGCAAGTACCATGTCTCCTGTTTGTGACTATTTGTACAAAACTGCACATATGAATATGAATAAGTAAAATTTTTTAAAGTAATATGCATTAGATGATATCTGAAGGAAAACTCAACCTCTCAAACTTGAGTGAACATTTTCTCACACAGATGAATAAAAAGAATGTGCATCCAATTGGGGAATGAAAGGAGGACTTCAGAGAAAATGGTAAAATATTTTCCTCAAAAAATATTTTCCTCCATAAAAACATAAAATAGTCAAAGTCAACTTTTTCAGATTTTTTTTTTAGAAAGATGAAAATTAAAAAAGGTTTGCAGACATCTTCAGAATTCTAGTCAAGAAAAATAGTCGAATCTCTGTAAGAACAGTGAAATATGTGACATGTTAACTTGCCTTTTTCCCATTCCCCTGACCAGCTCTACAGAAGCCTTTAAAAAGCACAGCAGCCGGGCTCGGTGGCTCAGCCTGTAATCCCCACCTTTGGGAGGCTGAGGTGAGTGGATTGCCTGACCCCAAGGGTTCGAGACCCGCCTGGGCAGGCGAGACCTCATCTCTACAATAAATAAAAAAAATCAGCCGGGCCTGGTAGCGCGCGCCTGTAATTCTGGCTACTCGGAAGACTGAGGCGGAAGGATCGCCGGAGCCCAGCAGGCGAGGCTGCGGTGGCCGGGAGTGGCCACTGCACTCCAGTCTGGGCGACTGAGTGAGACTCCAACTCAAAAAAATAAAAATAAAAATAAAAATAAAAAATAAAAAGCGCCGCATGTAGTCACAGCTCACTTAATGTAGATAGCCTTTTCTCCAGGGGCATTTGCCAAAATAATGACAGGCAATTGTTTAACACTGTGCCTTCCTGAGGTGGTAGACCACAGTTGGGGGCAAATATGCTAATCAAAAATACTTATGAGAAAAAATCTGGGTAATGGAATGTCTGTAAGGAACTTGAAAAGCTGTGACCTATTTCTGGAAATCTAGAAGTGAATGTACATGTGAAGGGCTGTGTGCATAATCAGGACTGTGAGTATGCACAGGAAAGACCAGAAAAAACCCTTGGTCTCATCTCTTACTAACCTCTGGACTCTGTACAAGCAAGAAGTGAAGGCTAGGGCAAAGTTACAAACTGCCTGGCTGAGTGTTATAAGCATGCCTAGCACACACATAGAGTTTCTTCACAACAACTTTATTTGCTCCCTCACAACAATTTGTTAGTTTCAGGTACTTAAGGAAATCTCTGGACAATTATTTTCTTTCCATCAAACTGAGCAGAGACTTCAGTAGTTACAAATGAGAAAAAACTAAGTTCAGAAAAGTAATTGAAACAACAATTGACTACAAACAACAATAAAAATAAACATCGGAGAGGGCATAGAATCTGACTTCAGAGACTCCATTTTAAAAAAATTTCTAGTTTTTGACAAAAATATGAGACATGCAAAAGAAAAAGATTATATGACCCATATACTTTTAAAAAGCAATCAATAGAAATTGTTTCTGAGGAAGCTTAGATATTGAATTCATTAGAAAAATATTGTAGTCATTTTAAACATGTTTGAAGAACTAAGGTGCATAAGAATGCTGTCTCATCAAATAGAGAATATCAATAAAAAGAAAGTATACAACTAGAAATTCTATAGAAAAATACAATAACTGAAATGAAGAATTTAGCAGAGGTAATCAGCAGCAGATTAAAACATACAGAAATCAGAATTAGAGAACTTGAAGACAGGTCAATTGAAGTTTTTCAGTCTGAAGAACAGAAGAAAAAATTAGGAAAATTAAACAGAGCCTCAGATACCCAAGGGACAGCACTGAGTGTACCAACATATATATATATAATGAGAATTCCAAAAGGAGAAGTGAGATAGGAAAAAAAAGTATAAAGGATATTTGAAGCCGAGTTCAGTGGCTCAGCCTCTAATCCTGCACCTTGGAAGGCTGCAGTGAGTGAATTGCCTGAGTCCGTGGGTTCGAGACCCGCCTGGGCAACTTGGTGAGACCTCATCTCTACAATAAATAAAAAAAAATTAGCCGGGCATGGTAGCGCGGGCCTGTAGTTGCAGCTCCTTGGAAGGCTGAGGCGGAAGGATCGCCAGAGCCCAGCAGGTCAAGGCTGTGGTGGCTGGGAGCGGCCACTGCACTCCATTCTGGGTGACAGAGTGATACTCCAACTCAAAAAAAAAAAGAATATTTGATGAAAAAATGGCCAAAAACTTCCAAATTTGATGAGAATCATGAATCCATGTGTACATGAGTCCACACATCTGAGCGTGACACATCTGAGCTCTATAAAATAGAAGTAGAATAAATTCAAAGAGATTCACACGTAGAACACATCATAATCAAACTCTTGAAACCCAAATACAAAAAAAAATTTATGAAGATAACAACAGAGAAATGATTAGTCAAGTACAAGAGATCTCCAATATAATTTACAGTTAATTTTTTAAAAATCAGAAACCATGGAAGCCAGAAGGAAGTAGGATGACATTCAAAGTGCTGTCAACAGGGCCAGGCATAGTGGCTCATGCCTATAATCCCAGGGCTTTGGGAGACTGAGATGATAGGATCACTTGAGACCAGATGTTCAAGACCAGTCTGTGCAACATAACTAGACAGTGTCTCTACAGAAAATAATAATTTAAAAAATTATCTAGGCATGGTGGCACACATCTGTAGTCCAGGATACTTGGAAAGCTGAGACAGGAGAATCATTTAAGCCCAGGTCATCAAGATTATAATAAGCTATGATTATGTACCACTGCACTCCAGCCTGGGCAACAGAGTGAGATTTTCTCAAAAAAATAAGGCCTGTCAACAGTGGTTTTTATATTCAATAAGATTATACTTTAAAAACAATGGTGACATAAAGACATCCCAGATCAACAAAGACTGAGAGTCCATTGCTACCAAACCTGTCTTACAAGAAATACTAAAAGAAGTTTTTCAGGTCAAAATGAAACAATTCTAGACAATAAATCAAATCAGTATTAAGAAATAAAGAACACTGGTAGTGATGACTTCATATGTATATACAATAGACAGTATAAATAAATTTTTTGCTTGTAATTATTTCTTTTTCTTTCTTATTTAAAAGATTATTACATATAGTAATAATTATAAATTGCATTGATGGGCATCCAATGTACCAGATGTAATTTGCATTAAAATAATACCTTTTAAAAAGAGAGAGAGAAGGAATAGAGTCATAAAAAGAAAGGTTTTTGTATAATGCTGAAATTAAATTAGAGTTGGTCTGAAATAGATTAGTTGCTTTAAATTAAGAGGTTAGTTAACATTCCCAATTTGTTAAGAAAATAACTCAAAAATATATAACAAAAAATGAAACTAAAATAATACATTAAAAATATCTATTTAACAGAAAAGAAGTTAGTAATGCAAGAATAGAAAAGATATGACACATAGAAAACAAATAAAATGACAGAGGCAAATTCTACCTTATCATAAACATATTAAATGTAAATGCATAAAACTTTGTAATTAAAACACAAGAGATCTGTTTGAGAAAGAAGAAGAGTGAGTGATTATAAGATGATTTGAATCAGTTCACTCCTTCCCAACAGTACACAAAATGTCAGTTTCATGTGGGAGAAAACTTCGTTGCGACACACAGTGGTGGGTGCCAGAGCCCAGGTAGAACAAGAAGCAGTTCCTGTGTGGGGAAGACCCTCCTGTTGGGTGAATCTGACTGACATACCCACCATTAGCACCCAGTGGAGCAACAGAATGGCACCTCTCTTGCAGGGCAGGGCAGAGAGTGGGAACCTAGCCTCCAATTAAAGGAGGCACAATGAACACATTTGGATGGGTGAAACTCCCTGCACCCAGTGGGGGTCTCCATGAACACACAGACCAAAAAGTTAGGTATGGTAATCTGGGCACCTTATCCCAGATAAAACTAGAAGAGCTAGGCATGTATAGGGACTGAAATCACACTGGTGAGGTAGAAGGGTGAATGATTTAGGGCTGATTCACCTCCTCCCTGCCAGCCTTCAGTCACATGCAGCAGGGGGCTGACCATTGGTTGGACTAGTTTAGCACTGGGAGAGAAAATCTGCAGAAACAAGAACCTGCTACAGGGTGGAGCACCTCATTCTTTTTCTGAGTAAAGAGAAATCTAACAAATGAGAAAAGGTCAATGAAGAAATGTAAGCAACTCTCAGCATATGAAAAAGCAGCCATCGGAGCACAAAGAGTGGAAACCCCCAGAACAACCTACCCTAGTCAACAGCCACAGAAATCAGAGAATGGATGGCACAAATCATCAGGAACCAAGAGAAACATGAAGTGAAACTCAAAGAAATTGTACAGAAAGTAAAAATGGAATTGGTCAACTTCAAAGAAGCCTATTTGGAAATAAAGAAGTATTGATTCTTGAAATCAATAACAAAGTAACAAGTAT